TTGTAGTTTGCGAACTTCTTTTTATGCGAAAAAGGTTCATTTTGGATTTCAACAAAACGGTGTTTTAAAGCAAGAATGGCATCAGAGAATGTCCTGCACATCTAGTAGTCTTAAATATTTTTAATGTTATTGAAATTGCTCACACGCTTTCTTTATTAGATTCAATTCTAGATAAAATATTCCGTCTTTTTATATTATGTCTAAAATAATTAAAAATTCATAAACGATTCAAAGTGATTATTTAAAGAATATATCAGTATCATAAAGAATCAGTCAGTCTGTTTTTATCCTTCTGCATGAACGGTTGTGTTATTATTTACATAAACTTTTAACATAAATTCTACAGAAAAAGAGTTTCTATATATGTCGATTGAAATAAAAAAAAATTATAATATAATTTTACGTCGCAGTCTGCCGACAGACAGAAGCGCTGCGCCGATTATGCAAAGCTGAGGACAGAGAAGGACAAATGTATTATGCAAATGTGCGATTGCGCTCGAGCACTATTTCGCACTCTATTCCACGCATAGGATTACTGCGCAGGACAAGGACAAAGATATGTCGCAGGCGCAGGCCACGCCCATCACCTATCACCTAGTTGCTCTCCCTACCACTCGAATCGGCCTGCCATTGCGAGAGGATATCATTTCGTTTTCGAATGCGGCGGTGTACGGTGTACGGCTAGAAGGGTCTCGGCGAAATGGACGTAGCCGACCGGCATGTTGCGTAAGTTCAACGTGGTTACGAATTGAATTCAGTTTAATAGTGCGATAATTTTATACCTATTAATTTCAAGTGTTTGTCATTGTGCCCTTATCAAATCTAATTTACATGAGAAATTGGAACTGATGCAGCACCGTTTACAGGAGAAAAGGTCAGTGATACATATTTCTTGTATTAATTTCAAGGTTTTCGAGTTGATTTTGTGGGTACCGATACCGAATTTTCGTAATACGAGAACTTGTAGTTTTATTTTCAGTTTTGATCATTTTGGCTTTTCATTGTACAAAATGAATTAATTGCGTGGACGCAATTACTGCGGCTTCCGAGTACATTTTGATTTATATATCACTAGAATTTTCTGAATCATTTGAAATCATCCATCCATTTACACTTTCAAATATTAGTTTAAAGTAGACTGCGTTGCTTAATAGATTTTGCAAGACAAATGGCAATGGTGGCAATGGGTCAGTGGTTAGGATTTTTTCAATATGCCAAAAATTACGATTTCTTATTAGCTCTTAGATTCTTAAAATTATTTTGCTACTGGGGTACATATTTGAATCACCAGTTTAGTTTTTTATAAATTTGTACATCGTTTTAACATATAATTAACCCTCCGTCGGTCGGAGTGGTCTGGCCAGATTTTTTCGGCTTCAATTAAAAAAAAGAACACTTGTAGTAATCCTATCGACTTGAAATTTCTTGACTTTTCCTAAAATTTCATTAGCTGTCGATCAATGAAAAAATCAGGAAGAAAGAAATGTACTTTGAATTTTTTTTCGAAGCGATCGCGGTGGGCGAGATAGAATATCGGAGCGAGTATGCGCCGCGTCGGAGTTTTACGGTTAAACTGTATAAATTTTGATACTTTATCCATAACAATGTGAACAAAGTTTGTACTTATTATTGAAATCTGTATAAAATATCTGATACTTGATGTACATAATAGATGTAATAATCAGTTTTGGAATACAAATGATTTATTGATTTTTATTGGATCTCGGAACCATTGGACCTGTCAATATTTGACAAATAATTTATTCAATACAAGTTCTAAAACAGTGTTGTAATATATGATAATTAATTCAAAATAAATAATTTTTCCCGAAATATTTGTCGACGATGTCGGTAATGATTGAAATGATTAAGAAAACAGTCGTCTTGAATTGATAAGGAGACGTCCTGATTAGTTTTCGGCAAAAACAGGTCCAGCCGTTTTGATGATACGGGGCAAAAAGTGCCAAATGTGGCACTTCAGTTTTTGAGAGAACTGAGCGGCGTATGATTTCAATGATTTAAAAAATGTACAGAAGTATTTATATTTATAATGTTTAAAAATGTGAAGCAAGTGTTGGTCAACGTAAACATCAAATGAATTAAATAAAATCGTTATTTGAATAAAGAAGCATTATAAAATTTTATAAATACAGGTATGTTCAATGATTATTGGAAACACGTATACGATTAAAAGAAATTTATTTTTGTAAATAGAGTTTTATATAATAAAGAGATTAAAATAACGGTATTCATTGTTTATGAAGTTATATAAATTATTACAGAATAAACCTGATGATGGAAAGTATCTATTTCCGAAACGTCGTTATTAAATATCTTAAAGAAAAACAAATTGTTTTTATTATTGGATTTACTGTTTGGAAAAGAAACAATCAATATATTGAAAAAATCCAGGACTTATCTATTGAATATATATATATATATATAATATAAACATAAATTTTTTTAATAATTGAAACATAATTGAATTGATATGGCTTTCTTCAAACGATCTGTTGATATTATATTTGAAAGATATCTTCATTGAAATATATCTGGCTATCAACCTTTAACTCAGCAGAAGCAGGAGCAGAAATATAAGAAACAAGTATCAATTAGAAGTGTGGTGGTCACAAACATTTTTAGTAACATATATAATACAGTTATATACGAATATCATAAATATTAGCTACAGTTATATACGAATATAACTTACTTGGTACTTTTATATCTGCAAGCTATAATATATACAAGCAACACAAGTCATCTGTCAATTATATATCTGCTCTGGAGAATTCAACAATGTAACAATACAATATATAAGGCAAATATACTACAAATATTACAAGGGTCTTTGTTTAAATCAAATATCTAATGTTCTAATTAATGAAAATGTGCTAAAAATGCCAAGATCTACAACTGAATACTATATCTTATTAATTTTATGTCAATATTAGTAGATGACTCAGGATATTAAAAAGGAAGATGAAATTTTCTATACAAGTATGAATATAAGAATTGTTCCGTTTAATTTTTTTTTTCATTAGCTTTGATTCTATTCATATGTGCAACTAATTTTTTTATTGTGAAATTTAAAAATATTTGAGAATATGGACAAAGAAGAAACTTTTGGCAGTATTCCGAATGATGTGATTAGATTTTATAGTACATCATGTTAGAAAAGCAATTCAATGCAAACACAAAGTGTAGTTTCAGACCTCGAGGAAAGTTAGAACATTTGGAATCCCATGACAAATTTGAATCACTAGAAAAATCAATTTATTTATTTCCAGAGCAAATCTGTTTGTTCCCAATATAGAGACTGTGTACAGTCTAATAATTTTGATTAAATGCGAAAATTATAAAAAGTTATGATGCAACTTAAAGGAATTGAATTATTTTAATGATGAGCTTTTGTGCTTTTCGTAAGATAAAACCTGTGCAAGGTGTAACTGTTTAATGAGATTACAAATACATAATGAATTCTTTATGTGCACAATTGAGTAAAGTTTATATTATTTTAAATATTGAAGTATCAAATGAATACAATTTGCGATTTCATAATTTCATATTCGTTTGTCTTGCATATTTGACATGACGAATCAAGATTGATTTGTAAAGTTTTTAATATAATTTAACATTCAATAATGATAATGTTTCTTTATCTATTAAAATTCATTACATACTTGGTAAATTTGTCACATAAATTTTTAAATAAAAGTGAATATACGAATATGTGAATATATATATCACACAATTATTTTTAAACAGTCGTAAACAGCAACTCGATTTACTTCAGAATCAATATTAAATGAACTAAAACATAATTTTTACATATGAGCTTATTGCATTAATATAAATGATGTCAATTATTTCAATAAGACATATTTTGGGAAATCTGTACAAAATTAAATAATGTACAACATTTTCTACTATCACAACACATAGTTGTGTTTGTATTATTAAAATACTTTAATGAAGAGCCATATTTATATAGACGAAATTGATATTCTTATAGTAACACACTTGAACACAATATTGTTCAAGTGTTAGAAAATGTAATTTTCTTTGTTGAAAGTTTACATGCAAAAATTTGAATTGCCATTTACAAGTAATAGCATATAATGAAAATTTTATATGGGATGATACTAACTTTGTCGTTTTTAATTTCCGATGGAAGCAACAAAATAATGTAAGCTTTTCATTGTCACCTTGCTTATTATTAAATAAAATAAGTCTTTATCTTTAATTAAACGAAATTGGTTTTCAATTCAATATACTTTGCTTTAATTGCATTTTTGATATAAAATAAATGTGAAACATATTTTGTAATTTTACTTTACATAATCTTATGCTCATGGAATGAAATCGTCGATTAAAAGCGTTTAATTTAATGTACACCTTGTTTATAATTTAATGCAATTAGTTTACAATTCAATATATAATAATTTTTTCTCTTTAGTTTCACACAAAATATTAAAATCATAATTTAAAAGCAATGAAAATGAGTAGTTTTTTTGACGTTTGTTAAAATTAAAATTAGACTATTTACTTGGTATAACGATAGAGTTCTTGGTTTTAATGAACATACTGAGCCATTAAAGTCCTATGGAAACTGGTTCAATAATAATAATTGTTGATTTTTGAAAATTTGTTTTTAGAAAATTTGTTTTTAGAAAATACTCCGAGTTAACGAATTCGTTCGTGTTCAATTATGTGTAATAAATCCACTCGGAATTTAACATTTTTAATCACTCGTAAATTAATTTATTTTTTATTGATTAAGTCGATTATTTAAACATATAGGGAAGTTCATGTAGCTTGCCTCGAGGCAAAATACCAAACCAACTAGTTGAAATCGGTTCAGCTTCACATACTCATTCCCAAACTTGTTCTCAAACGATTCAGATTGACTTGTCGCATGCATTGACTTGTTATCGAGTTTTATCTATTTTATTTAAAACTGTCTTCAGATGATCGTCGGTAATTGGATATGCCTGTACCTCCGAGACAGGTACAAGGCGTTGGCGGCCCTGGTGTTACTTTTAGCAAAACGCCAGCGGCTACAACGGCGTACAAGTGACCGCCCAAATGATGCAAACTTTTGAGCATTTTGCACTGGCAAATTACATAGAAGGAGGTTTTGTAGAGGTATAATAGATAATGCAATATATCACAATGTACTATCGAAGTGAAACTTCTTAGGCGACTTTGAACAAGGTTGCTTTCAATGTTCAATGGGTTCAATGCAAAGTGAACTAGTGTTTTATTAACTTCCCGTAGGGCAAGTTATAGTAATCGCAAAAAAATCAAAAATGAAAATTTTTATATATCTTTACGTTTCAGAGGTTTCTGAACATTTTGGCATACTTTAGAAAAAATGGATGTATGTGTGTGTGTGTGTGTATGTATGTGTGTGTGTGTGTATGTATGTGTGTGTGTGTGTATGTATGAGTGTGTGTGTATGTATGTATGTATGTATGTGTGTGTATGTATGTGCGGATACAAATTTTCGTCGACGATTTCGGGAACACGGATCAACCGATTTGAATAATTCAAAAAACATTCGTTTCGTATTGATAAGGAGACGTGCTGATTAGTTTTTGGCGAAGGCAGGTCTAGCCGTTCCAAAGATACGGGGCAAAAAGTGCCGAAAACGGTAACTCAGTTTTTGAGAGAACGAAGCGTCCAATTTGAATAATTCAAAAAACATTTGTCTTGTATTGACAAGATGAAGAATCGATAAAATTTTCATGAAGGTAGGTCTAGCGGTTTCGGAGATATGGAGGAAAAAGTAAAAAAATGAGCCATTTGGCGGTCAAAAATGATCATTAGACATATGCACATCAAATTATCAGATATTTTATAGAGATTTTAACAATAAGTATAATTTTGGTTTACATTCCTATGGGTTCCGTACCAATGTTTACGCGTTAGACGTCGACGCGGCGCTTACGCGGTTTGATATTTCGTCTTTATGCAGTTAAAGCAGTACGATTGCTTTGAAAAGAAAGTTCAGATCTTCCACAATATGTCAAAATAAAAAAAAATTTTTTTTTTTTCAAAAAAAAAATTAATTTTTTTTTTTTTTTTTAAAAAAATTTTTTTCAAAAAGTAATTTTTTGTCCAATTTATAGTTTCTCAAATCTTATTTTTTCGAAGTAAAATTTTTTCAAAAATGTTAAAAAAATAATAATTTTTGGTACGGGAAGTTCCAGCAATTTGCCTTAAGGCACGATGCCTTAATTGCCTTAAGACAGAATTCCACTTACAGCTAGTTAATGATTGTTTTAGAATGCCATAGATTAGGAATGTTGAAGATTGTTTCAGATTTTTTTTAGAATGTAAAATGTTTTTCGAATGTTATGGATTATTTCATAATTTTTAGAATATTTATTACAACATTGTAGACTATCTGAAAGTGTTGCATACTCTTTGAAGGTCTTGCAACTTGACTGCCCAAAAGCATTGCAATCTCATTTTCACATTACGAAGTTTCACTTCTTTTGCAGAGTATCACTTCTATTATTTTTATTGTTTTTTTTTGTAGGAAGATGAAGGATTTCCTTCTCTACTCTCCAAAAATAAAAAACTTACTGTTGATTTTAGCCAGTTCTTCAAAAGTATAATAAAGACGGGTGGAGAAATAATTTATGATGGTTTTTTATGAAAAATCTGACCTCAATCTTGAAATATTTGTCAAGATTGGGTCAGAAAAATATAAGATATACGGCAACATTGGCAGGTAAATTGTATTCGTGAGAATGATTTTTATACGTAGACTCTCCTATGGATTTTTAGATATTTTTAGACATCTATATATTTCACACATTTCTAGACAATTGCAAAAATATGTAGCCATTTGTAGATATTTTTCTTAAATTTTTGTACATTTTTAACCCTTGCCAGTAGGCGACATATACATTTATGTATGTATATCTAGACATTTTTGTACATATTAAAAATTTTTAAGTTACATTTAACCCTCCGTCGGTCGGATATTTTTTCACCTTCGAACGGTCGGAAAGGTCTGGCTGGACCACCATTCATTTTACATGCATTTATATGGGATAAATGAGTTTTTGGTGTCTTATATATTAACGATTATTAGTAGTAAATATTTATAGTTTAGATTTTTTCTTTTTACGGTAAGTCTTTTGCATGTGTTGAGCTTGCTTATAATAAAAATATTACATATTATATTATATAAAAAAATCAAGAAATATAAAAAAATCGTTGTTTTTTTTGTTAATTTTTCTGTTTTATATCAATGAAAAACAATATTTATTTTTTTTCTGCGCCTTTGAAATGAATGTGAAATTCAAAAGAAAACGAATCATTTTCAAATTCGTCGTCTTTGAAATGAGCTGTAAAACTCGAAGTGAAAATATAATTTCACTACAGGTTTGGCAAACAAAAAAATTTCGAACGCAGTACGGGTAAAAATTTTTTATAATGTGTGCATTACTCATCCGATTTTCATTGTTTGCGATTACCAATAAGTTTGGTAGGTTTTTAAGGAACTCTCGTCATGAAAATACTAACATTCATGCTACAACACATAGCAAAGAATATATACAACGCAGTTTGAATAGAAAATACCATGAAAAAAAGATAAAATACTGGTTTACATAAATCAAAAAGCGTATATTTCATACAAAATGTATGGGTGGTCTAGACAGACCTTTCCGACCGTTCGAAGTATAAAAAAGTTAATATCCTTATAATTATCCTTCTGTACAGTTTTTCGTCCTGATTTTTTATTGATCGACAGCTAATGAAATTTTAGGAAAAGTCAAGAAATTTCGAGTCGATAGGATTACTAGAAGTATTTTTTTTTTTTTTTGTTAATTGAAGTCGAAAAAAGTCTGGCCGGACCACGCCGACCGACGGAGGGTTAAACATCACTAGACATTAAAAATGAATACATTGGCAAAAGAGTTGAACAAATATTTTAAAATTACCATTTGATTAACTGATTTTTTATATATCTATTCAGGCTGGTCGATAAATACAGAGTTGGCAGGATTACTGGAACAAGCGGCTTCCGACATAAATCGGTGCTCGGTCGGAGCTAATTCGGGCCGAAGAAGCGAAGGAGACGACGAGGCGTGATCTGAGCCGCATTCCTTCAATCTGAAAAAAATAAATTAAATGAAAAGTATAGGGAACTTGAATTGTGCATCGAGTCCCTATACAGGCATTTAATTTATAAACGCATCAAGTAAGATATTTTGACATTTATGGGCCAATTCTCGGATAACACAGCTAAGTTTTGTTTGTAGACTCCTACTTTAACATATCATGTCTTAAATAAGCATATGTTCAGGATTATGTATTCTTGGAGCACGTCGTGTAGGAGGCACTCTTTTTTTGATTGAATTGAATGGGTCCTATTCAGTTTTTTCCTTTTCTTTTCATGATCGTTCTCAGTCGAGTCTTTTATGGACTTATTCTTTTGTTATCTTGTCAGTCCACTTTATTTTCTCCAATCACCTGTCTCCTGCGCACCACATTTTAAAACTCTCCAAATAGTAATAGTAAATATTAATAGTAAAGAGCTATGCTCTAGACATAACATTTTTTTTTATCAATATCATCCACAAGTCGAGACTTGGTTGGTTCTCACTAGTGTTCTCAACTTCGCAAACTCCACCTTGGCGCTTGCGATCTTTGTCCTGATCTTTCTCGTGCTCCAATTTTTGATTTTCTACTGTTATCTTCAGAGTATCATCTCGTTTTGATACTCTCATCACTTCCAATTTGTTGATGTTGATTTCCGTTCCATATCTTCTACCCATTTCGACGATTCTGTCCATCATGTTTTGCAGCTCGGTTTGGTTTTTTGATATTACCACTAGATCAATCATTTTGCCATATAAAACAAAATGTCACCAGGAATAGCTGTTACACCTACCATAATTCCTTGAACCGCATAAGTTAAAGAATATTTTTTAACATCAGTTTATTTACAGAGATATCGCACCTGTCACAAGACGTGTGAGCATACGAGAATTGGGCCGCTTGATAAGAAAACACCCGGGACTATTCTTAAATGAATGGACTTTGCGACTTTTTGCGACTTTTTGCATTTTTCGTTTATGACAAGGTATATATATATATAATAAATAAATGGTAGTCTTTCATCCATGCTTCCTGATCCTGCACTTCGGTTTTCAGTACCCTGTATTTTCTCTTTACCAATCCCTTCAGCCCTTCTATTTTACCATCCACGACGTCGTGCAGAAGGCACTCTTTAGAACAGAACGGGTCCAATCCAGTTTTATTCCTTCTTCAGGATTCTTGAAAAGGCCGATCTTGAAATGTCAAGAGAACATAAAAATCTCCTCAGGCAGTTACTAATAATGATTTTTTCTATATCTTCACAGACTGCATCAGTACGGGCAAGCGTTTTGAAAACCTTGCTCCCGTTATATGAGGACGTAAAATTATCCAGAAAATTAAAATTGTTCACTCACAAATACCAACAAAGAATTCTTAGATTATCTTGGGATAAGAGCGGATGCAATCAGGAGATTGCAATAAAGCTCGTCACAGCCATGTTCAGGTGAGAGTTGAGAATAAAAATGTTCACTTAATAGACATATGCATGAAACTTTTGATGGTGATAACCCAGTAAACACCCAACGGTAGTAGCAATCTTATATTACAGCTGTTCAAAAAATAATAGTTTATTGCCAGCGAAAAAGTAAAAAAATACAAGCAATAAATGAATATGTTAATTCTAATTGAAGAGTGAAGTTGCAAAAACAATATTTGTTTAGGCGTTGTTTGACATAATCCACTGTCTCAACAAATATTATAGAAGTTATTAATCAGCAATTTATTAATCTTCATTTCTCTAATGAAGGTTCATTTCTAAATGATAATTACAATGACAAACCGATCATGTCATAATTGAAGTATGACTTTAATTATATGATTGTTTTTAAATATTATAAATATTTTTAATGCTATTATAAATCTATAATTTATAATTTTTTATTATATAAATGTGTATATATAATGGTTGACGCTATGGGTTGAAGCCCCTTTCTGGGGTATTGCAATGACTGCCGCTTATTATATTTTAGCATTTCCCCATTACGAAA